CAGGCAGTGTTTCGTTCTGCTGTGCATGGGGTCGCTATGAGTCGGAAATGACTCGACGGCACTTAACAACAACAACAACAACATAGTTATAGATACAGATATAAATAGATAATATGTATATATTTATAGATATACATATTATATATATATTCCAAAGATTATTTGTGATTACCAGGAGTAGGAGGGAGGGGGAATGGGGAAGCTTTTGTTTATAGGGCACTGAGTTTATGCTAATGGTGGTGGAATACTTAGGAAAAGGATAGCAATAATGGTGGCACGACATGAACAATGTCATCAATGTCCCTGAGCTGTAAATGTGGAACTTGTTAATGTTGACGAATGCCTTGTTGTGTATGTTTTCACTGCAATAAAAGTGGGAAAAAAAGAAAAAGAGGAAGAAAAAAAAATTGTGCTTTAATGGATAAAAATAAAGCAGGGTTAGGGAAATAAGGAACTGTGGAGATGAGAATGTCTATGTTACATAGAATGGCCTGACAAGTACAAGGGCCTAATGGAGAACATGCTTGACATTTGCAGATGTAACATCAGGGAGCTACCAGTGTACCTGGGGCAAAGTGAATGAGTTAAGAAGTATGGTAAGAATTGAGGTTATTCCGTTTCTTTATTTCAGGAGTTAGTCACCTTCAGAGATGTTGCTGTAGACTTCTCCCAAGAGGAATGGGATTGCCTGGACTCTTATCAAAGGCATCTTTATAGTAATGTGATGTTGGAGAACTACAGGATCTTGGTATCACTCGGTAAGGATATCTTTCCCCTTACAAAATTCAGCATCTATTCATAAAGGGCCTTTTGCTCCCACCATTGTGGACTTTTAGGTAGCATCTACAATACTTGACTGTTTGCTTCCTATGCCAAAGAAATGGTTTAATATTGTTGGAGTTGGCTGTGGACAGATCTATTACTAACCTGTACCTGAAATTTCATTTTCTCTATTATTTTTCTAATACACTTTGTATTTTTTTTTAACATTTTTTCTGGCTTACTGTAAGCTCCTTTTTCCCTAATGATCATAGGGTTGAATGTGAGTTCTATTTCTTTTCATGTTTTCAGGACTTTGCTTTTCTAAGCCAAGTGTGATATTATTGCTGGAGCAAGGGAAAGAGCCTTGGATAGTGAAGAGAGAGCTGACAAACAGTCTATGCTCAGGTGAGTGAAGAGGAAAGAGGCAGGCAAAATATTTTTCAGGTGACAGTTCAGCTTGACGCAATGTTAGCACCTTTTCATTATACTTAGTTGACCATTAGAAGCTCTGGGGGCATAGTGCCTAAGGCATTTGACTGCTAACCAGAAGGTGGGCTGTTCAAACCTAACATCGGAAGGAAGATTGGGCAATCTACTTCCATAGTGATACTGCCTCAGAAATCCAAGGAGGGGTCGCTACGAGTTGGATCCGACTTGATGGGAGTGAGT